ACACAATTTAGATCGTTTAGGAGGCAGGCTTGGATACATGCATCACGACCGAGAAATTCTCCCCTCACAGAAATCGAATTATTTACGTCTTCAGTATGCGACGTCAAAGTGCCTTACCGCTACACCAAAGGCGCCGGTATGGCAATCTCTATCTTCATGTTTAGTTCTAGTAAGAGCTTTACGGCACTTGCAACACAATAAAGTCATACAAGTGCCGAAAAATAGATTACGTGTTACAAGAGAGCAACATACACGAAAAAGAAGGAGAGGAGATAAGGACAACAGATGTTTGATAGGAAAGAAGGAGCAAACCACACCAGATCACATTACCTACTCCATTTGTTAAAATTGTGTAACTCAGTTTACCGGTTTTACATTAAACTGAAACATAGTAAGAATAACAATTAGGCAAAAATAGCACCCAAACGTAGACAGCTGATGCCTCTTTAAATGAATTATTAATGGTTGTTGAGCGGAGAGGTGTTTCAGCGACGAGCAGAAAGAAACGATGCATGACCCAGCATAAACATGACACAACGTAACACAAACTTTGCCGAGGGTCAACAAACTGCACTTTATGTATAACGGCTTCATTAAATAGTCAGCTCTAAGAACTTGGTCCATTTTCTTTCGGAATTGAGACTCAGAAGACTTGAGGAATGCGCGTGCCAAGACACACAGTTTGATGACGTCAGTGTTCCTGCCCTTGAAAAACTAATTAATTTTATTGTTAGTAGACTTAGAAGGATATTTCCTACTCAGCCACAGAGCGGTGAAATTTTTGTGCAGTATTAAACAGTTGTTTTTTTTTAAGCTCGCTCCTTTTCGTTAAGGATGGTGAGGTGGGTGGATCTTTTTTTTAAAGGGTTTTGTTTGTGTCTTTCATTTGGTAAGAACTTAACGGCGCTTGCATCAGCATAGAGTCACATGAGCGAGCTTTTTTATTTGTTTAAGAAAACTGACACGCCATAGGACATTGTTTTGGTTCCAGGTTTAAACATCTTTTCTTTCTTCCTCAAACAGCATACTAATCTCTCCTTCCACTTTTATTCCCACCCCATCAAGGTTTCTTTTTACGAAGAGGGCAAATGGACAACCCATTCTATTATCCCACTACCTTTTTAAAAAATTAATTTTTAAAAAAAATACCTCCCCTGCCCCACCTCCATTCTGCCTATTTATATCAGCGATTCCCGATAACGTACCCTAGCCCGCTGTATATATATATATATTTCCGTATAATATTTAATAATAATATATGCGAAAAGAAGGCTTACTGATTCAGTTAGGGACGATTCTGTTTTTCTTTTAAAATCCCACTCAATGATGTCAATCATTTTTTGGGGAGACAGACTGCCTGGCACTTCAGCTGAAGACGTTCGGCTGTCCGCCTCGTCGCGGGCCCTGGAGCATTTATCCAGGTCACTGGTCGCCAGGAACTAATTGAGACCCTCGGTCAGTCTGCCACTAGGTCACTGCTATAATTGTATTCATCGTTCCTAGCTTCTTGATACCGTATCTGCTTTCATAAAAACAGGTCATCTTTCGGTGTACCGAGCTAAGGAGAAGTGACGCCCGGCAACGGACTAGAAATAGAAGTCGCTTATCTTTAGCTGCTTCAATAAGTAATTTCATTCAAGGGGATGGTGAAAAGGAGTGGGGGGGGGGGGGGGGGGGAGAAAAAAAGAAGGAAAGAGGAGGAGGAGGGGGAGGGGGTGGACAAAAAAAATGAGGGTACAGTAGAGTGAAAGAAAACGATACATGGATAAGGATGAAGTGAGTCGTGGGGAAAAGCAGAGGAAAGAGTAAGACGGAAAGGGGGGAGGAGAAATAGATTAAGGAGAGAAGGAGAGGGAGGGAAAGATTGGCTTGCCTCTCTCACTCTCTTTATTTCTCTCTCTCTTTCTCTCTCGCTGTCTCTTTGTCTCTCTGTCTCTCAGTTTATAATCTACGTCAGTCTGTGATCTGTCTATCCCCCCCCCTCTATCCCCCCTCTTTCTCTCTTACTTTCCGTGCCTGCACACGCTTTTGTCGTATGTGTCAGTCACTGACAAGTACAAAACGTTTTAAGATTTTGAAAGTTTTTTGCATTTCTGAGCCATAAAAAGGGATCACGGCGATTTTGAACGACTAAAATTACAAAGTTCTTAAAAAAAGTAGGTCAAATCAATTGTCCATACTTCTCACAGATTGCACTTGATGAAATTACCACCAATTACGTTTTGGCATTTCTTTAATTTTAGCGAAGAGGATGAAAAGTGTTTGTTTTTTCTCAGAATTTCCTCGTGTTCTCAAGATTCCCCAGAATGTTGTCGAATTTATTTTGAGTGTGCTCTAGACTTCAGAAGGATTTTAACATTTTGATGATTTTGTCTACGAAATTTTGGCGGAGACTTTGCACTATTAACCAAAAATCACACTAGGAAAAAAACTAAAGAGCATAAGAATACACTGAGTCATATTTGTTCGTTTGTTTGTTTTGGTCGCAACTATGGGTCGCCCTAATTTGAGCAAGAGTCAAGGATATGAAAACTGATAACACTGTGACATTATAACCATTATATCTATAAAAACATAAATTCAATATTGTTTGACACTCTCTGTGGGAGGTTGGCGGGCGCTATGGTGTGGTTTGCTTCTTCTTTCCTATAGAACATCTATCGTCCTTATCTACCCTTCCTCTTTCTAATGTTAGTTACTCTCTTGTTGTAACACCTCTAATCTTCTAACACTCATATGACCTTATGAAGTTGCGAGCGCCGTAAAACCTCTACTAAAACTAAAAACTGACACTCTCTGTGAACATTTACTAATATACTCATCTGACCTCTGGGGCAATAGAAGTAGAACCATAAACTCGGAACAGTGAGGCAGAAGGTGACAACATGTCTGTTGTTAATAATACTGTCCATTCTGCCAGTTGTCCATCTGTCTTTAAGATAAGGGCAAGGGTGGGATCAGTGCGATGCCCTGGAGCAAGGCCCATTGACACGATATTTGAGATTACGACACTTGGGGCGACCAAATCTCCCGTTGTCTTGCCTTTCTCTTTGTCCACCTCTCTCCGTCTCTCTCCCCCCTCTCTCTCTCACTCCTTCTCTCTCTCTCTCTCTCTCTCTCTCTCTCTCTCTCTCTCTCTCTTTCTCGTCTCTCCTATTTTATCTCTGTCAATCTAGGTGTCTATCTGTCTCTCTCACACACACGCATACACATACATACATTATATAAACCAATATAGTATCCAGAGGACCCACATGCATTTATTCTCCATAATATCAACATATCCGTGTTTCCATGTTTGTCCCGCTCTTTATTTCTTCTCTCTCTAGCCCCCCCCCCCCCATCACCTTTAACCCCGTTCTCTCTCTCTCTCTCTCTCTCTCTCTCTCTCTCTCTCTCTCTCCATCTCTCTCTTTCTCTCTCTATCTCTCTCTCTATCTCTATCTCTCTATCTTTCTCTCTCTCATTCTCCTTTTTTCTTCCACTCGCTCCCCCCCCCCTCTCTCTCTCTCTCTCTCTCTCTCTCTCTCTCTCTCTCTCTCTCTCTTGTTGACCATTAAGCCTGGCATGATCATGGTGGTCAAGATTGTGGTCAGGAAGACACCAGAGACTTAATAATAATTGATCAACGCCCTCAAAGAGATTGATCACGTGCCACCTCCCACGCCCTGTCCCATAGCGGGGACCAATCAATGGCGCTGTGGACCATAGCCGGGCCGGAGGGGAATAAACAATGGCCAGATAAAACATCAGAGAGTACGAGAGAGAGAGAGAGAGAGACAGACAGACAGAGAGAGACAGAGAGAGAGAGAGCTAGAGGGAGGGAGAGAGCTAGAGGGAGGGAGAGAGAGAGGGAGGGAGAGAGAGAGCTAGAGGGAAATAGAGAGAGAGAGAGAAGGAGAGCTAGAGGGAAAGAGAGAGAGCTAGAGAGGAAGAGAGAGAGCTAGAGAGGAAGAGAGAGAGAGAGAGAGAGAGAGAGAGAGAGAGAGAGAGAGAGAGAGAGAGAGAGAGAGAGAGAGGCAGGCAGGGTGGGGGATAGGGAGACAGAGACTGAGAAAGAGACCAAAAGACAGAGAAACAAAGAGACACAGAGACAGAGAGACGGAGAGAAACAGATTTACTGAATGTTTATCGCCAATGAATACCGAAAGCTGTATCTTAGATAAACACTATTTAATTTATAAAGGGCTGAGCAATAATAATAATAATAATAATAAAAATGATAATAATAAAGATAATAATAATAATAATCATATAAACGATTTAAAAACACTGAAAGCTGGATATTTTTTCTCAAATTACTAACTGTCATTCGAAAGCGCCAGAGTTAATGGATGATTTCAGATTGCGTTTGGATTGGAAAAAATCAGATGCGGTACAGAAAATTATTTTTCTTATGTGGGATTGACATGTCTCTTTGCATATAAAAGGCAATGATTTACACAAGAAATTATATATCATTTGTTTATGCATATTATTCTGACTGGATATTGCAACAACAAAAATGCCATTCGTCAATTCTGCGAAGATTGTAGAGTGGAAGTGTCTGGGATGTAAAGACCTAAATAAAAAGTCAATTTTAAGACAGTAATCTAAAGAAATCGAGGGAAACTGACTGCAATGCATAGATGCAACCCCCCCTCTCTCTCTCGCGCGCACACACACACACACAAACACACACACACACACACACACACACACACACACACACACACACACACACACACACACACGCACACATATACACACACACGCACACACACAAACATACACATACAACCTGAGATACTCACATAGATACGCACAAAAACTCCCAACTCCGTTAAACAAAAACACCCCTAATAAACAACCCTCCCCCCCCCCCGCAAAAACAACTAAAAAACAAAAAATACCCATCAAAACAAAACCCAAAAAAAACGAACAAGAAAAAAAAACCCATCAAGAAACATGAGCATCAAACGCAGCTTTGATTCTTAGACTGTAGCCTACTTCTTCCTTACCCGTGAGGCACTCGTGTACTGCCAGGAAAGTGTTGCGTGTATTCCGTAGCTTTGCGGCCATCTCTGCCTCTTCGGGACTCTCCAGAACCATAAAGATGGCCCCTCCGGCACAGAGAAATCCAATGAAGAAAGCGATGTGCGTCACCAGACGACACATAGGTCTCGTAGCACACCATCGTAAGTCCTTCCTGTGTTCAGAACCCATCGTAACGTTTTGAAAAAAAAGGCGAACTTTAAAAATCACTCAAAAGTATCCCTTCTCACAAATCGTCAGAGGTTTGTTCCGTTCTTTATGCCAGAGTTTCTACTTCTAGTTTTCATGTCATCGTGGGGTTTTTTTTATCGGCAGTTCTGTGGTAAAAGCAGAGACTCCGATGAAATACGTGGCGTTTGAGTTTCTAAGTCGGTAACAGGAGCCGCTCACAATTTGAACACAGAGTCCTTTCTTGAGAAAAAAAACGGAAATCCATATTAAAATTTTCTAGTAAAAATTGTTGCAAACAAAAACATTAACTAAACAAAGTTAATAACTCTACACTATTGTATCTATATTTCTTATTAATAAAACAAGCTATCATAAAAACTTTTATTTTCTTTGTTTTCTTTTCTTTCTTCTTTTTCAAAGTCGCTTGGTTTACTCTGTAAAGGACACCATCAGAGCCCATAACTTGACCCTCCTCCAAGCCACTCAACTCGTATCTAACAGCCTTTTGTTTCACACATCGCGACGGTACCAGCGGCGCATGGGAAAATTAAAATAAAATAAAAAGTAAGACAGAACAAGAAAAACAGGAATTAAATATTAATTTCTTTTAAAACAAAAGACATATTATTTTAATTTCTCAGCATTGAAGATCAACACGAGAACACCATCTTAAAGCTTCGACAAACATCAACGAAGTCGCACACTGATGTACCCGGGACGCTTTCTGAATCGGATCGTTCGCAGAAGTTTAAAAAAAATACAAACCACCGAATATTTATCACAGAATAACTGTCCCTTGAACTAGATCCAGCCCTTTATATAAGCTACATAATGTAAGCACCTGTTGGCAGTTTAGAACTCGACAGGGGTAGAGCAGGTCAAAAGCTGAATAGTCATACGGGTCTAATGAGTCTCTACTAAGTTCTTCATTCAATAGTAGGACGATGAAAACATTTAATGTCATTAGTCTGAGCATTATTCCTATTTCAATTTGACATTTATTAGTAAATCTCCGTAGGCGTACTCGGTTTTTCCATGTTATCGTGGTATTGTGGGGCGTTTTTTGAAGGGCCAGGAACTGCCTCGCCCTTCCTAACCTTACTAATTTTACACGTATAAAATAGTATCCCCTTCGATGGTATCTCTTTGGTAATTATATAGTATATACCATTCTCTTCATTGTAGCATGTAAAGGATTCAGATTCAATTTTCATGAAGGGAAGTCTGTTTATTTATTTATTTATTTGTTTATTCATTAAATAATTCATTCATTCATTCTTTCATTTATTCATTCATACATTCATTCATTCATTCATTCTTTTTTTTTTGGGGGGGGGGGGTATGCATGAGTGTACCTAACCTTTGACATCCACTGCCTTTGTAAACAGCCAAGACAAATTGCTTCCTGTGAGACGAATAAAGATTGTCATTGTCATTGTATTTTCATCTTTCTGTTAGAATGCCTTATCTCATTAATTAAGCCCGAGGCGGCCCTGACAGAAGGATCGGGCCAGTCTGCTGCCTAAATGATCTACATGAACAACACCTCTCTCAGTCATATTTCTGTATTTGTACATGTTTATGCCCCTATCGATACAATTTAGACCATGCTTCCACCTTGCTTGTCAGGGTTACCAAAGGCTGACATACGAGTAGATATAACATCCCAGCAGGAGGTTCTCGTGCTCTGGAGGTTACGGTGCTCACCTCTCATTCAATAGGTCCCGGGTTCAAATCTGGATAGCGACGGAAAATTGTCCTCACTAAAAAATGTTCCCTTTTCTCCTTCTATCCTGCTCTCTAACAATTTTCTGTCGTCTGCTTTCGACTCCACTTGTTGCCCCCACCCCCTCACCCCCTGTGCTCCCTCCTCTGGGCTCCTGACATTTTCTGCAGCCGGTCTACTGCAACTCATTGGCTCCTTTTTACTGTTGTCTTTCAGCCACACCCCTGATCTTATGGTAGGTAAGATCGAACACCTACTCTTCTCGGATAAGGGCGAAAAATATCGGAGGTCCCGTGAGCAAGATGCGCACGTTAAAGATCCCTTGGTGGTCCAAAATCGATAAGGGTAGACGTCGGCCGCCACCGCTGCAAAATTCAAAATTTTCTACCAACTGAAAATATTTGGTATGTCCCGCGTGCTCATATAACCGTATGCAGTTGCGAGCGCCGTAAAACACTTAACAAAAAACAAACAAATAAACAAACAAAAAACAACAACAAAACCCCAAAACACCATCCCAGTTGACAGAGATAGACCTTTCTCGATAAAAAAAAAATCCTCACACCAGACCATAGTGTCAAACTCAAGTCTTTTGCGTGCAATATCCAAAGGCTTAACCATTACACCGCAGATGCCGATCTCAGTCTATTCTTTCATACTTTTAATTGTATTGCCACATTTCACATGATCGATCTTATTTGGTTCTTGGACTTCAAGCGACATTCTGTATATAGCGTTCTGGTGATGGAAAGCCTAAATTCCAAGGGGACTGACTATTTTCCTAACCAAATATCAGCTAGCATAAAGCCACTGTCGATTAACCCTTTCGTTTCTAGGCCCGCTAAATAATCCTCCCACAGATGTCTAGACAGTCTCGAACCAGGAAGTGAAGGGGTGTTGGTTTGATTTGTTTTGTTTTAGTAGAGGTTTTACAGCGCTCGCAACAGCATAAAGTCATATGAGTGCCAGAAGATTGGAGGTGTTATAAAAGAGTAACAACAAGCATAAAAAAGAAGGAGGGGGGGGGGGGTAAGGACGATTGATGTTTGATAGGAAAGAAGGAACAAACCACACCAGAGCACCCGCCAACCACCCACATTGGTTTGTTGAAGTAAAGGGAAGCACATCGACATAATACTGGTCATTTAGTGCTGGAAAAAGTAAGACAGACAGACAGGCAGATAGAAAGACAGACAAACAGACAGACAGACAGACAAACAGACAGACAGACAGGCAGATAGACAGACAGAATCAACAGACGGAAAGTTAAGAAGTAGGACCTACCAGTGGTACCTTCCAACCACCTACAGGGAGTAGAGGGGTTAGCTGAAAAAACAGTACTTCAGAGCAACATTTTCTGTTACTTTACCAACAGATTATCTAAATTGATCTCTCCAGTGTTTAGGAAAAGGTTGAAATAGAATGGCCCGCATAGACGCCTACACGTTTTTAGATGCACGATCCTTTGTGCATGTCATCCATGACGCTGTAAAATAATATTTCCCTCAGGCTATTTCACCCCACTTCAATAATCGTTTTGTGAGCCCTCGACGCTCCCAAAATAACGATTTCTAAAAGTACGCCAGCATTAAATCATGAAAAACACTGTCATAGCTCAATGTCAATGAAATAAAAATGGGATGAAACCCAGAAAAAAAATGGATGAGTTCTGATACAAGTTAAGGGTTAATCGCCCCATCCCCAATCCCCTTTCTCAAAAATCTCAACCCAGGATGTTGAGATCTGACTCAGGTTCTAATCATTTTGTTGTTGTTCTTGTTGAAAAACATCCACCAACGAACCCTGTGTGGCACTTTAAAAAAAATAGTTGATTATGATGTTAAGTGAGATAGGGGTGGTAAAACGTGTAACCTCAAAATGTCGAATGACGTAGGTGCCTGAACAGCACATAGACAAGAATGAATGGTGCCCCCTATAGATAAATCATTAGTAACGGTTCATGAGGGAAGCTAAAATTAAAAAGGCCACATTATGTTAAACAATAGCCTTGGGCGTCATAAACTCTAAAGCTTGTCTGGTAATAGACTTTCCTGCCGTGAGTCATTTCTGTAATCAGTGCACGATAACAGGTGAATCAATCAAGAGAAATTAGAGCCCTAGAGTTTGTTTAGTAAGCGTTTTACTGCGCTTGCAAACTATATAAGGTCATATGGGTGCGCCAAACACTAGTTAGTTTTCACCACAGTTCACTGCACAGCTGAGTTTTATTTTATGGTTAGGTTAAACGTTTCATGGTCAAAATTAAGTTTTAAAAACAGCAATTTTCATTTTGATATAACAAGTAAAAAGTAAAGGCCAATGGCCTTTGTGAAATCGATAATTTTTTCGGGATCAACGACAAAGGACACATTTTAAAAATTGGCACTTTAAAAATATTCCCTTCGGGTCTCTCCAAAGTCTAGATTTTTTTAAAATGTACTTGATCGACATTGTCTGAGACAGACACCCATTGCCGAAGATACAATGGCCATCAAAGAGAGGTGGCCGTCTTACACAGTGCCATTATAATATTTTGATAACCCGCAAGAGTAGAAACCGATAGGGTCCGTTTATACTGGTGATTGTCTTATACGGGATGGCAGTTAGATTAGGTTAGACAGCACCCCGAGTGGCTCCAAGTCAGCACACAAGAAAGCCTGCATCAAAAACTGTTATGGTGACATGGACACTTAGGCAGCACACGTCTTTGCATTCATGGAAAGTGAACTGAGTTAATATGCTTCAGTTAAGGCTTACTCGAATGCTGACTGCCAGAAAATGAAAAGAATTAATAAACTCAAGCTATACAACGACAGACACGTTAGAAAAGAAGAGCGTGTGGCACAGAGGCGAAAGAAGGCTCTAAGAACCTTCGTCAGTCAATTGTATCTCTAAAGTGTCCATATGATACACTAGAAAGGTTACTTAAATCTTCCTAGTACTACAATTCACTTTGAAGGGAAATTAAAATGGAGGAGCAATGAATGTGTTTACACCTATATTACAGACGTTTCAGCAAAAAGCTCACAAATTGCAGCAATATTGTATCAGGCGGACCCTAGTTTGGTTAACCTTGCGCTATCAATTTTTTTTTAAACGTGGCCTGTTGGTGGCAGATAACAAGGTACTCGGTACCAGTTTCAGCTTTTAAAGTACAGGGTCCTTTAAACCTTCCTGTGCCGTGCGCTGATACATCCGTCAGAGTTCTTTCGTAGACCCTCGAGTGTGCGCTGATAATTTGTGACCCCAAAAGAGTTAACGCTTTGGCCCGAAGTGCGCGTCATATTTTTTTTGCTTTCCTGAAACCGGTTTTGTAATACGAACGTGGTCTAAGAATCACGTGCGAAAAGCTTTTTCGCCAGGACAGGATGACCATGAAAAGTAAGAGTTTCGGGCGACTCGAAACCAAACAGAGGGTTGAATTATCACTGAAATCCAACGCGTGAACTAAATAAAATATTATGTATAGAAAGAAATACGACGTGTAATTGCATCATCTCTTGTTCTTATCGTT